CTGTTGCTGTTGTTGTTGTTGCTGTTGTTTGGGATGTTGTTGCTGCTGTGGCTGTTTGCTGCTGTTGTTGCTGTTGCTGTTGCTGCTGTTGTTGCTGTTGCTGCTGCTGCTGTTGCTGCTGTGTTGCTGTTGGCACTCGTCGCATTGTTTGCTTTGTAGCCAGTTGTTGTACATTTTTATGACAGCTCAAATTGGCCCCCGTCGCCGTCGCCGCCTCCGCCGCCAGCAACACTGTCAGCATATGGCAATAAATGGGCTGGCCAGGACCATGGACTATGGCCAGGAGCAGCAGCTGGGAGTGCGGGACAGACAGATGACTGACGGCGATTGGCGTCTGATTTGTAAAGTTCATTTGATGCCAGTCCCAACAAAGAGCCTTGCTTGCTTTTGCCGGGGCCCATTTAATTTTCCATTTGGCACTTTGAAATTAAAACACAGAAAATCCCGCGGCCGCTTTTGACAACTTTTTAAGCTCCATTAGTGTTTGGCGCAAGAAAGCATAACAAGGAGCCGCGCGACCAAAAAAGGGTCAAGCCGCAGCGCGGCAGGACACCAGTCTTCAGTGGTTGCCACCCCGCCCCCTGCCTCTGCCCCTGTCCCTGTGCCTGCCCCCGCCGCTGCTGTTAACCTTGAGGGGTGGCTGCACTTCCGCAGCTCGAGCGCTCGAAAAACATTTAACTGTTTGGCTGTTTGGCATTCATTGCGAATTTAAAGGGCAGCTTAGTGACAGGAATAATAAGGAAGCCCGCGACGGAAGCGTTGATGTCAACGCAGCAGACCCAAAGCCAGTGCCAGAGCTGGAGCAGGAGCAGGAGCAGGAGCTGGAGTTCCGAAATAACCACAAGGGACATTGGACTTGGGCTCCGGGCCTCGGCTAGAGCAATAATGGCAACAGCAATGGGCCACAGGGCCACGGGCCATGACGTCCTTGTTGATGTTGTTGTTGTCCTTGTTGTCGTCCCCTTTTGATTCGGTCGGCGCTATGCAAACAGACCAAAACCAAACCAAACGAAACGAAACGTAACGAAATAAACCCCAAACCTCAAAATGTTAAAAAGGACAACAGGCAACTGGGCAACCGGGCGCTGGGCGCTGGGGATGCGGCTGAATGCCCATCGTCGTCGTCGCTTTTTGGCCATTGTTCTGGCCGCTTCTGGCCAACTTGTGTGTCAGCTTTTGGTCACAGCAAACTATGCGGCAATTGTCCAAATGCAAAATAATCAAATTAAATGTGAACAGTGGACAACAATTTTGTGCAGCTTCCACTTCCAATTTGGCCATAATTCAGCTTAAGCTAGAGCCTGGTTTTTTTTTCTTATATTTTTTTTTTTATTTTCAAGCCAGCCTCGTGCCAAGTTGGGCAGCCAAGTGGCAGACATCAAAACACAGCCACCCCCTGAAGTAACTGTTTATTCCAACCCCCAAATGTACGCCTGCTGCTGCTGCTGTTGCATAATTTTCGGCAATCCACAAGTGTGTGTGCTCGCCTCCTTTCTGGTGCGCCTGTATGCGTGTGCGAGAGCTCTCGTTACATTTTCGTGGAGCGGGAGCGAGTGCGACTGCGCACTCGTTGTTGATATTACAGGGGTTGCTCGACTTGCTTGGGGGCTGCCGCTGTTGTTACTGCTGCCGCTTGGCTACTTGTTGTGTCTTTGTATTAAAAACTAGCCATAAAAGCGCGGCTTATCGATCTACACATAAGTCAGCAAATGCTATTTCTGCCAAGCTGCCATCACTAACCCGGGGATCTGCAACCCTTCTCAAGCGCTCACCCTTTGCCATTTACTATGCTATGGCCATTAATCGACGCCACCACCACCACCATCAAAATCGCCAGCAACAGTGTTGCCGAATGTCTTGCTAAAAAATAGCTACATGTCATCTTAGAAGTAAGCTGACTCATAAAGATGCCAAAAAAAAGCTAAACCAATTTAAAATTCTACCTCAATTCAGCTAGAAAATAGCTGGCATCTTAAAAACAGCCGACTCCACTCTCTAAGCACAAATTGGCAACAATCCGGGATAGTGCACATAAAGATGCCAAAAAAAAAAGCAAAATCAATTCAAAAGTTCTCTAAAAATAGCTAAACTTAGCTGGAAAATAGCTGGCAACGGCGAACAGCAGCCAACACCATCTAAGTGTTGCGTTGCCGTTGTTGGATTTGGTTTTGCTGCTGACCCGAAATCACGCACACTCGCTGTAAATTACACACACACACACACACACACAGACACACGCATACTCTCACGCTCACATTCATTTTGGCTGTGTGTGTATCACAGTCACGACGGCAACTGTGACGTGACGGTAACGGTAACGGTAACAGCAACAGTAAAAGCAACGGCAACGGCAACGAAAAGCTGCGAACACGAAGCGCACAGAGTAGAAGAAGGGAGTGGTACGTCAATAACTGACGCACAGCGGCAGCAAATTATGTTTAAAACCAAAAGTCCATAGTGTTTCCAATATAAATATATTCAATTCAATTCAATTATTCAGCTTAAAATAAAAGCAACTGTAATATATATAAATAATAATCGTACAAAGTGCAAAACTACGCCAGCAAAAAAGAAAAAAGAAGAAAAGTGCAACAACAAATGTCAGCGAAAAAGAAGGAGGTGTGCAATTTTCAACAGGCTTACAAAAATCCAATTTCCAAAACGAGTGCGTAGAAAATCAACTGAATTTTCGGCAAATTTACCCCAAGAGAAACAACATGAAATTCGTGTAAAACTGACAGAAAACTCAATTTATGCATGAGTTGTTTTTTCGCTGCTGCGGCAACGTTCAACTGTAAACTTTTGTTGCATGTGACGTATGCAACAAAGTGCCGAATGAGGTGCATGTGTGTGTGTGTGTGACTGTGAGTGTATCGTATACCGAAGGCTCTAACGGTACTCGCTGCAGCAGCGAGCGCTGCAAAGTATGCAATAAATTCGCGCATTGTTTATGTGCAACGCTAATGGGATGGAGGGGCTGGCGAGGAGGGAGGACTCCGATCGAAACAAGAGTGAGAGAGAGAGAGATAGAGAGCGGGAGAGAGGGAGTGAGGCACAGTGAGGTAGGCTAGGGCAACCAACAGTTGACTATTTGTTGCATGTATGCCTCACTCGCCACTCGCTACTCGCCAGCTTTCGCTCTCGCTCTCGCTCTCTCTCGCTCGTCACTCTCTTGCATACTGTATGTCGCGCTCTCTCTTTCTCTCTCTCTTTGGTGTGCTGCTCGTATTCAATTCACACAACATTCGACAAGTGCAGAGTGAAACAAGTTGTTGTTGCTGAAACACAGCGAACAACGAAATTTTTTTCACTTATTCTTGTACAATTTTCAACGATTTCGAGCTTCAAAAAAATAACCAAAAGTGCGTACAATTAATTGCAATAAGTGTACACAAAATAGCAAAGTTTTTAACAGTATTAAATCTATAAACAACAAACGGCAAAGGCAATCGAAGTCTGCATTTCCTAAACAAAGCCAACGAGTTCACGAGTATGCGCCATTTTAAAAAGTGGGATAGGGATAGATAGTTTCCTTCCAGTGGAACAGCATACAAATTCCCATTGCCCACCATCCCCAACCCCCCACCCCACCCACCTCAACCAGCCCATACTCGAACTTCCACTTTCGGTATATTAAATAAACTGTTTCTAAAATGTTGCAAGCAGAAAACAAAATTAAATATGATATCCGCATAATAAAACGTTCCGAATAAAGTGTTGGCCGTGCTAAGGGTGGGCTAGTTGGGGGCGTCTATTGGAAGGCAGCTTCTTGCTCCAATCGTTATGTGAACAGCATCCGAGCGTGAATTTGTTTACAAAATTTTGGTGTATAAACTTAACATATCCCATAAAATGAACCCGAACCAAACACAGTGATAAAATTAAAACAACAAATTGTGACAAATATTAAGTTCTGATAAACATTAATTATCTCATATCTGATCTTTGAGGGAATCAGTTCCGCAATATTTCTATCTAATCTATTATTTAATCTTCGAGATTTCTCCTTCCATTTAACTCCAATACTATTAAGTTCTTTAAGGGAAGAAGTTGCCCAATATTTCTATCTAAGCTTTAAAACAATTAATTATCTCTTATCTTATCTTTGGAGGAAGAAGTTCCTCAATATGTTTATTTATTATTTTATTTACTCTGATAATTAACTTTACAATTCTATAGTAAATCTATTTGAGTGAAAGCAAATACTATTAAGTATATTTTATCTGATATTTAAGGGAATCAGCTCCGCAATATTTCTATCTAATCTATTACATAGTCTACTAGATTTTTCTTTCCGTTTAAGCCTAATAATTTATTTTACATTTTCAAAGCTAATTCTATTATTTTTTCCGTTCTATAAAGAACTTTGATTAATGTACACGGAAACGGCAACGCAACAACGAGAGCAATTTCTCTAGTGATTCTTTCCAAGCGAAACTACGCGTATTAAATAAAGTGATATAATCAAGTAACTGCAGATGTTATAGGATAAGCGCTTGGAGTGCTTGGGCCTGTGGAGGAGAGCCAAAGCCAAGTGTCGACGGGATCAAGATCACGATCAAGATCAGGATCAACGATGCCCGCTAGTCGCAGCCGGCACAGGAACGGGCACAACAAAGCAGCAGCAGCAGCAGCAGCAGCAGCAGAAGCAGAAGCAGAAGTAGGAGTAGGAGTAGGAGTAGAAGTAGAAGCGGAGCCGATATCCGTATACGGTGCAGAGGAAGCGCTACTCTCAAGGCAGCTCATGTCAAAGTCGAAGTCAAAGTCGGAGTCGGAGTCAAAGTGAAGCATTTTACTCTGCAGACCACTCTGGAGTCGATGTGAAAGAAGGTTGTGCTATATCTAAATATTAAACAAATAATCTAACTAAATAACAAAACTAAACATAAGTAAAAAAAAAAACAAAAGGAATATATAGAGAGAAGGATATACGGCGTGCGTACTCATAAGTAGTTTATAAAATTTTATTGAACGACCCAAACTGGCAACGGAGACGGAGACAGAGACGACACAATGTCTGTGGACTTTATACTGCCCAATCGCAACAAGATACAAACGATTGCCTACGCGAGCAAGAAATATGCGCCAGCCACTGAATCCCACAGCTGGCGACGCCCCAAGTCAAAGCCGAGCAGCAGCAGCAGCAGCAGCCGGAACGGAAGCGGGAATGGGAGCGGGCAGCAGACGCTGCGTAAACTGAGGCCGGCGGCCACATCCAATGTGGACAAATCCCATCCGGTGCTGCGCAATGCCAATAACAATAACAGTAACACACACAATGGCAAGATGACGCTCAAGTCTGGCCCCAAGGATAAGGATAAGGATAAGGAGTCTAAGCGCGGCGGCAGAGTTGCGCTCAAGCGTGAGATAATCGAGCTGGACGAGGATGAGGGCAATGTGCTGGCCCAGCCGGACGACGAGCAGCAATTGGAATGGTCGGCAGCACAGTCCCTGGTGCAAATGAACTCTAAGCAGGAGCGCCGTCTAGGAACGGGAGCAGCAACAGGAGCTGTAACAGCAACAGGAGCTGGAGCCAAGGCAGTCTCAGCAGCCGCAGGTAGGTGCAACAGTTAACCACAAATCCACTTTCCGTTCCTGCCCAGAAATTGCGTCACAACAATATGAACAGGTGGCTGCGACAATTTGTGTACTCGTATTTATTTTTAGTAGCCGCTGCCCCAATGTTCGCCCACATTTTATGACCGCCACCCACTTGGCCACTGGACGCCTCTGCTCGCCCGCCCTCTGCCTTGCTTTCCGCCGTGCTCCGTGCGCGTGTTTGACATTGTTGCCGTTAGCTAATCTTTTTAGCGTATGCTGGCATTTTTCATGTTTGCCTTCTTGTCGATGTTGTCGTTGTTGTTGTTGTTGTTGTTGTTGTTGTTGTTGTCGCTGCTTGTTGCTCTTGACAAAGGCTGTGGAGCAACAAATGCAAACACGAAAGCCAACACGCGCCATTGTCATGAAAGGAGCAAAACGATGGGTAGAGGGGGGGGGGCACACTTGTAGTCGCAAGTCTTATCGATTCACCATACGAAATGTAAGAGGCCAGACCTAGAAATAATGACATCCCCCTATTCGCACCACTAACGAGAGGCAACGAAAAATACTAAAGAATGCGGTTATGGTATATTTAATCATGGGGTGTCACATATTAAAGCCCAACTGGTCACACTCATTAGGAATCGAATTCGGCTGCACAGCTTTTTGCAGCTTAATTTAAACTCTTTAAAATGATTTGCATGCTGCATTTATACGTTAATTCGGAATTAAATGTATATTCAACGAGTTAGAGTGCCATATTCGGCAGTGCTCGACTAGCAGATACCCTGTAGCCGAGCGCCGAGCTGTTGCAAGCTTTCGAACTGACTTTGATGATTTTTGTACTCCGATACTTATCGATATTGAGGAGGAAAACCAACATAGGATATACGAGAGATTAACGAGCACCACGGATCTAAACAGACAATATCAGACATGGATACATATTCTGAGCCCTTCAACCTGATCACGAATATATATCTATACACATGTATGGAATAGAAAAATGTTTGGAAGGGTGCAGTAAAAATTCGAAAAAATGTAACTAGTTCTTATAATCTTCGATTACTCAGCCGGGCTATTGCCAACCATAGATTTATCTAAGGTGTATGTTTACTAGATCTTTAACCAATTTCCGTTATTTGTCACACATTTGTCAATACTGGCCACGGGATACGATAATTAATTGCTATCTGGAGAAAATGTCAGCAAGTGCAGTTGACAGATAGCGTGATGTCAACTAATTTTGGCACTTTTCCAGATTGTCAAAGAGTTCAAATATTGTGAATTAGATTAATTATGGAGTTAACAATCAATGGAGATAACGTGCAAGGAGAGTGCTGTGATATGCCCTTAGATTGTCAGTGGCTTTTCAGGCAGTACTCGAATTTGTTGGCAATAATCCGTTTAAACCGCTTTTTACAGTATCTATGCGCCGTCCAGTGGCCTTTGGTCGCGCACCGGCCGAGGATGGCAAGGTGATCTTCTATGCGCCGCCGGCAAATGCCAACGGCTCCGCCAGACAGCCCCAGCCCATAGCCATAAAGCGCGAACGGGAGCAACAAGTGGCAGCGGCTGCGGCTGCGACCTCGGCCATATACAGGGGACGCAGCGTGGAGGAGACGGAGGCGGCACACGATCTGCTGTCCTTGTCGCAAAGTCTGCCGCCGCTAATTCCGCCCTGTGTGGTAACCATTATGAAGCAGGAAATTTTGCAAAAGCCGCCGGAACATTGCCTGCCCGTTATGCAGGAGATTTCGAACAAGTCACCGCAGTCGCCGCCGCCGCCGCCATCGCCAGCGCCGTACCAGAGTAGCAGCAGCAGCAGCAGCAATGGGGCCAGCTCCAATATCCGGTTCATTGGCAGCAGCTCCTACGACTTGTTGAGCAGCGCGCCCGAAACATCGAACAATTGTTCGCCGCTGACGCCGCCCAATTCCGATCACAGCTCCGATGTGGACATCGACATGTCCTCCTCGTCCGAATCCGGCCAGCTGCACTGGAACAAGCAGCCGCCGCCGCCGCAGCAGCAGCAACAGCGTGCCTCCGCTTTAAAGATGTGTCTCAACATGCTCGACGGCCGCACCAAGGCCAGCAAGGCGGCCACCAAGGACAAGGAGCAGCAACAGCAGCTGCGTCCCAAGAGTGTCAACAGCAGCCAAAGCAGCAGCAGCAGCAGCGCCACCAGCGAGCCAGTAACTGGAGGAGCAGGAGGAGGAGGAGTAGCTGCACCTGCTGGCGAGAACTATGCCAAGCGCAAGCGCGGCTGCTACAAGTGTTCGGAGTGCGGCAAGCAATATGCCACCTCGAGCAATCTGTCGCGCCACAAGCAGACGCATCGCTCCCTGGACTCGCAGTCGGCTAAGAAGTGCAATACCTGCGGCAAGGCATATGTCTCGATGCCAGCGCTGGCGATGCATCTATTGACGCACAAACTCTCGCACAGCTGCGATATCTGTGGCAAGTTGTTCTCGCGCCCGTGGCTGCTGCAGGGTCATCTGCGTTCCCACACCGGGGAGAAGCCGTACGTGTGCGTGCAGTGCGGCAAGGCGTTTGCGGATCGCTCCAATCTGAGGGCCCACATGCAGACGCACTCGGGCGACAAGAACTTCAAGTGCCTGCGCTGCAACAAAACCTTTGCGCTCAAATCGTATCTGAACAAGCATCTGGAGTCGGCCTGCCTGCGGGATGCAGGCGCCAAGAATATGGACGGCGACGATGAGGATCTGGATGAGGAAGAGGATCTGAAGCATGATAACGACGAGCACGACGAACTCGAGGCGGACGAGCTGGACAGCGATGAGAACAGCCAGGATATTGTGGTAGCCTAAGCTTATCTAATATATACGCAACTAAAAACTTTAAGAAACCTTATACCTAAAAATCCTATAAGCAATACTCGAGCACCCTTCCCGAAGGAAATATATAAATCAAATCAGTCAACTAGCAGCTTATTCTGAGTAGTTTTGAGCATGTCGAGCATGTGGAATGTGTTGGTAACGTCTTGGATGCCAGTTCTAGATCTCAAGAGTCAATAGCATGTTTTCAAAAGCAGTTATAATACATATTATTATTATACATTATTATTACCTTATATTATTAACATTATCTGACCTTTTCCGGTCCGGAATGAGCGAATCTCTCCAAGTTGGGCATTTTTATTGAATGAAACAAAAACAAAAAACAAAAACAAAAACAAAAACAAAAAAAAAACAAAAGGTTTAATATGAAATCCAAAATGTAACTTATAGTAAAAATCTGACACAACGAATATTATGGAACATAAGTAGAAATTCTATATATACACACAGATCAAATAAGCATATATACAAGAAGCAATGAAAAAGCAACAAACAAACAAACAAACAAAAAAGGCAAATTATATATTATATATATACATACCTATATCTATATAAATTATATGAGTACATAGCGAGCAGAACCAATTTGTATGTTTTTTGGTAAAAAAAAAATACCTACTTTAAGGCATCGTTTTAGGGCTCTAGAGTTTATATAGATACATAACCTAATAGATGAGTACTACGAGTATTAGTCTATCTCGAAGGGATACTCGTATAAGTTAAAAAAAAAAAGAACAGCTCATTTCGAAACTTAGCAACTAATTAACTAGTGGATTTTTTAGCACTTCCTGTAACTATCTCTCGCTCTTAGTCTTTTGAATATTTACTTAACACAAGGCATCAAGTTCGGTAGGCCAACAAGCAACAGATTAGCAATGAAAAATGATAATACTCACAATTTTAAACTGCAACAACTTTATATTCGAACCCTATTTAAGATGAATAACTTCCATAATATGCTCTAACTCGATAAACAAAAAACTACTTCAATTACTTAGAATGGAAATTAAAATTAATGAGAAAACAATTTAGAAACATATCACAAGGACAATACTTAAACATAAATGCATTCAATTTAAAAATATATAAAAAAAAAACAAAAACAAAGAACATAAGCAAAATTCAATTAAGATATAGAACGTACATTCTCATACAAAACAAAAATACAATTTGCAACATAGTTATTTTATTACTAGACTTAAATTATGTACATATAATCCAGATTAGAAACTAATTTTATACAAAAAGTAATTCCCAAACGAAACACCAGCTTCGGCCCGAAGTCGAAGTGCACTAATCCGCGCAAATGTCTGATAAGTTTTGGGTTAGATAATTTCCAAAAATTATACCCCTTAAATCCAATTGCGCGGGTTATCTCCGAGAAGTTTGGGCAAGCATCTGAAAGTTTCAAGAGATGTTCGATGTTCGATTCGATGTTCGAAGGAAGGGAAGAGGAAGAGGAAGTGGGAGGAAGACGATGCGAAAGTAGATGAAGCACTTGTAAAACAAAATGACAACTAAAAGCAATTCCAAAAGTAAGTGACATAGTTTTAAAAAACGTAACTCTATTAAATCGAAAAGTATATATTATAAATATA